TCCGCCCCAATCAGCATCAGTGAAGATCTCCACTCTTCGACTTCCATTCTTCGAAAACAAGATTCCTTTACCAGGGCTCCCTTTCAAGTAATGAAGAATCCGGTAAACAGCTTTGGAGTGTTTTTCTGAGGGACAATGCATAAACTGACTAACCAAGCTCACAACAAATGCAATATCTGGTCTCGTATGAGCCAAATAAATCAGTTTCCCTACCAGTTTCTGATACTGATTCTTGTCCACAGGCTCAGCACCATCTTCTTTTTCGAGTTTTTGATTCGGGTCAATAGGAGTCGCCACTGGTTTACATCCGAGTAATCCGGTCTCTTTCAAGATATCGAGGACATATTTCCTTTGCGAGATAATTATACCTTTTGAGGATCTAGCCACCTCCATTCCAAGGAAATACTTGAGTTGTCCTAGATCCTTGACTTCAAACTGGTTGGATAAGAAGTTCTTCAACGACTCCAACTCTACTGTGTCATCTCCTGTCATAACAATGTCATCTACATACACAATTAAAATAGCAATTTTACCATTATTGTGTTTGTAGAACATAGTATGATCAGACTGGGCCTGAGTGTAACCATGTTGTTTCACAGCTCTCGTGAATCTCTCGAACCAGGCTCTCGGAGATTGTTTCAATCCATAAATGGATTTCTTTAGCTTGCAGACCCTGCCATCCTTCTTCAATTCATCAAAGCCTGGAGGAACTTCCATAAACACCTCTTCCTCTAGCTCACCGTTTAGGAACGCATTCTTCACATCAAACTGTCTGAGAGTCCAATCCAGATTGGCGGCTAGTGAGAGTAGGACACGTACGGTGTTTAGTTTGGCCACAGGTGCGAAGGTCTCCTCGTAGTCAAGGCCGTATGTCTGAGTGAAGCCTCGTGCTACGAGTCTTGCCTTGTATCTCTCGACCGAGCCATCTGCATGGTATTTGATGGTGAACACCCACTTGCTGCCTACAGATTGTTTCCCCTCAGGTAAAGGAGTTAGATCCCACGTGTCATTCTTCTTCAGGGCCTTTAACTCCTCAAAAACTGCCTCTCTCCATCTCGGAACTTCTAGAGCTTCATGTATCGACTTAGGTAGTGCATCATCCATAATCCTGGTGGAAAAAGCTTTGAAATCTGGAGAGAGTTTATTATAAGATAAGAAATTGGATATTGGATGTTTTGTGGTACATGATCTAACACCTTTGCGCAAGGCTATGGGTTCAAAGAATTCTGTAGAAGGCTCTAAATTTGGAGAAGAAATAGGAGAAAGAGAAGTCGTACCTTGGACCATAGTCGAGTCCGATGGCTGACATACCTTGGGGACCGGTGGAACATTATTTGGTCGAGTCATCCGTCTAGAATAAACACGAAGTTCAGTAGGTGGTTCCAAGTTGGTTTCTACCTGAGTCTCACGAGGTTGTGAATTTATAGGTTGTGAAATCCTAGGATTAGTTACGGAAATATGAATTGGTTCCACTGAGCTATTTACAACCAATTTTGGCAAGGATGTTTGTTCCCAAAAACTCATTTCAGAGTCATTCTCCCCCGGAAGAGAGTTTTTGTCAAAAAAAGGTTGTTTTTCAAAAAACGTGACATCCATACTCACATAATACTTCCCAGATTTAGGATCAAAGCATTTATACCCTTTTTGTGTTGGTGAAAAACCTAGAAATATGCATTTATGTGCTCGGGGATCGAGTTTTCCTCTATTTTGGCCGTGTATATGAACAAAAGCAATGCAACCAAAAATTTTAGGTGTTAAATCAGTGAAAGATCTATTTTCAGGAAACATATTCTTTAGAGCTTGCAAAGGAGTAATATAATTAAGAACTCTTGTAGGCATTCGATTTATCAAATAAGACGCTGTTAAGAGTGCTTCATTCCAAAAACGATTAGGAACATTCATAGCAAACAGTAAAGCCCTAGTCACCTCTAATAAATGCCTATTTTTTCTTCAGCAACTCCATTTTGTTGGGGAGTATCAACGCAAGAACTGTGATGAATAATTCCTTTTTGTTTCAAAAAATCACCTAAGATTGCATTAAAATATTCTCGACCATTATCGGTTCTAAGAACTTGAATATTTGCTTGAAACTGAGTATTGATCAGTGAGTGAAAATTTTTGAAAACACTTGCTGCCTCGGATTTTTGTTTTAGTAAATAAATCCACGTGACTCTAGTGTGATCATCAATGAATGTGATGAACCATCTAGATCCTGAGGCTGTTTTTACTCGTGAAGGGCCCCAAATATCACTATGCACAAGAGAAAAAGGTTTTGATGGCATATACTTTAAAGATGGATAAACAGATCTTTGATGTTTTGCCAATTCACAAGCTTCACACTGAAAAGAAAAACCGTCCCTTTTTTTGAAAAGATTTGGAAACAAATATTTCAAATAATTAAAACTAGGATGGCCTAACCTATAATGCCACAACATTATTTCATTCTCACAAGACAAGGTAGTAAAGCATCTCGGTTTCTGAACTTGTTTATTTGAAGGATTGTCCGTGACCAAGTGATAAAGTCCATCAACCTCCTTAGCATTGCCAATCATCTTCCCCGAACAAGGGTCCTGAAATTCAAATCCAGCAAATGTTATTGTAGCAATGCATTTGCAATCATGAATAATACGATTAACAGATATGAGATTGCAAGAGAGCTTTGGGACATGTAGGACATTTAGTAATGTGAGAGATGGAGAAATAATGATAGAGCCTTTTCCAGCTATAGAGGTTAGGGAGCCATCAGCAATTTTTACCTTCAGATTACCAGATAAAGGAAAATAAGATGAGAATATGGAGGAATTACCGGTCATGTGATTTGTTGCCCCTGAATCTATGATCCAAGGGTTTGATTTAGAACCGGCTATGAAAGCTGTAGGATATGTACCTTTCTGGGCTAATGATGAAGAGGCAATATAAGATGATGGGTTAGGAGTGTTGGTTATGGAATGAGAACTCATTAGTTGATACAATTGCTCTACCTGTTCTTTGCTGAAGGCAGACAGTTCTGAGGCAGGTTTCGGCTCTTCAAAAGCATCTTCAGATGAGGCATGGAATCCCTTTGCATTACGAGAATTTCGATTGGCTGAAAAATTCTCGGCTGGCTTCCCGTGTAGCTTCCAACACTTGGCTTTAGTGTGTCCCGGCTTGTTGCAGTGCTCACAGATTGGCCGATCTCTGTCGTTCCGACGATCGTTGCGACGTGGTGGCTGACCTGAGAACAAGGCAGAAGACTCGGTGGGATTTGGTGAGTGGCCTCCAAGCATGACTGTCCGCCGGCTCTCCTCTCGTCTGACTTCGGAGAAGACTTCTCTTGTGCTTGGTAGTGGTTCACGACCAAGGATGCGCCCTCTGACTTCATCCAATTCCTTGTTAAGGCCGACAAGGAATTCGAAGACGCGTTCTTTTTCCACCATCTTCTGGAATAGAGCCCTGTCCTTAGCACAACTCCATTCATAGTCGCTGAACATGTCAACCTCTTGCCACAAGGTCTTGAGTTCAGTGTAGTATTGAGTGACAATTTTTTCTCCTTGTTTTAGCCTCCATAATCGAGTTTTTAGTTCAAACCATTGTCCTGCGTTCCCGAGATCAGAATAGGTCTCGTTCACAGCATTCCAAATGTCATGAGCAGTAGGTAGGAAGAGATAAGTTCTCCCTACACTCGGATCCATGGAATTTATGAGCCAAGACATAATCATCGAGTTTTCTGCCTCCCATCTTTCAGATTCTTCTTCTTCGGCAGGTTTCGTAGTGATACCTGAGAGATAGCCGAATTTTCCACGGCCACGAATAAACAGTTTCACAGATTGTGACAACTGTAAGAAATTATTTCCATTCAACTTGTGAGAAGTGATGGATATGTTTTGGAAGGATTCAGTGTTTAGGGTGATTGAAGGTGAGCGAGTAGAACTCATAGAGTCGATACCAGAGGTATCATCGTAGAATTTGGCCATTTCGGCTCTGACACCATAAAGAAAAAAAAAACTTGTTCAGAATAAATCGTGTTTATTTCTGCTGAATATGACTGACTTAAATAGAGTTTACAATGTAACAACTTTACATAAAAAGATGCATAAAATTAGCAACATAATAAAAACTAATTCTATCTAATTAAAACTGATCCTATCTAATATTTAATTTAGATATTCTCGACATGTATTTTACAGAAAACACTGGATTTTTGGCTCACGCAAGTTTTATCGAATAAGATATTGATATTCATGCATGTTGTGATTCTGATTTTGCAATATAATTGGAATTTTGGAAACAATTGTAGTTAACATGTTCGTGCATCATGTTAAAAGTTTGGCTAATAGTTTTTTATAAGATATATATTTTTGCTATATTTTCAATTATGAAAAGTTATAAAATAGTCCTTGAATTAGGATATAAGCATAGTTTATGCGACATTATGACATCGGTGGTAAAAAAAACCTAAATAAAACAATAATGTCATACATTCACGGGATGGATTTGAATGGCTCGTACTTTCACGTTTAAGTTGATATCCAAGCAGTAAACCCTGTGACTTTGGTGGTAGTAAAGAAATTGTTGATATTTTTTGAGGTTTTGAGTTTGAGTACTGGCAATGTTAGGGGTACGAAAGATCAATGTCGAATGGTTGAGAGTTATTTTTGAACAGATACTATCTTGTACTTATCTCAGATTAATTAAAATAAAAGTTGATATCCAAATTTATCTTCTTAATTTAGATTGATATACAAATTTGATTGATTAAAACAAATTGGTTAAAGAAACTATAAATATAGATTTAACCAGTAAGTTAAACTCATGTATCACTTAGAATCTCAACCCTTAATTTTTTTAACGAAGTTGTACTTTATTTTAACTTTTATAATAGAATACAAGTTGAGGTGACTAATTGGAGTAATAAAATGTTGAGGTACCAAATTGAACATTGAAGCTAAATTTAGGTGCCTAAAATGTATATTTACCTTATATATAACTCATACTTTCCCTTATTTCTTTCGTATCATAGACTGCTCTTCCCTCCCGTCCCCTACTTCTCGCTAGCAGCTGCAATTCAAATCTACGCTAAGGTAACATCTCCACCTCCTTCAATTATCAATTTGAAACTTTCCCTTTTTGCGTTGTTCTGATTTGTCACTAATTTTATAAGTTCTTTTTTTGTGTTGTTTTGATATTTCATTTTACCTTGATTCTGGGGTTTGCTGCAAAACGGCGTGGAACTTAGTTCTGTTTATCCATTTAGTCTAGGGTACATAGATTAGACATGTTTCTAATTAGATTATAATTTTCTTAAATCATGATTCAATGAAGGGAATCTAATTTTGTTTCAACCGAATGTAAAGAGTATTTATCTTTTAATCTGAAAATATTGAAGAATATTTACAGTTTTAGCAAGTCATATGAGCAATCTTGACTTTTGAATAATTTTTTTATTGTCTGAGCAGCTAAGTTGTCGATAGCGAAACCCAGTTTTTGTATTCAAGAGAAAATGGCGCTGGTGGTAATTTGTGGACAACCCTGCAGTGGGAAATCCACGGCTGCAAAATGCCTGGCTGAAGCTCTGAATGATTCGGAATGCAAACAGACGGTGAGGATCATTGATGAAGCTTCGTTTCATCTAGACCGCAATCAAAGTTATTCTAATATGCCGGCCGAGAAGAACTTGAGGGGAGTTCTCCGGTCCGAAGTTGATAGATCTGTGTCCAAAGATAATATCATTATAGTGGATTCTTTGAATAGTATCAAGGGTTACCGGTACGAGCTATGGTGTTTGGCTCGTGCTGCGGGGATACGGTATTGTGTCGTTTATTGCGATGTTGAGGATATGCAGTGTAGGAAATGGAACGAGGAACGTAGGGAGAAAGGAGAGGCTGCGTATAATGATGTCATATTTGAGGATTTAGTTAGAAGGTTCGAGAATCCGGATAGAAGAAACCGATGGGATTCACCGTTGTTCGAGTTGAGGCCTCAAATTGATGGAGTGGAGAAATCATGTGTTGCCATTGCAGATGCAGTTTCTTATTTGACAAAAAAAGTGGACTCGAAATCATGTGATGTTAAAGTTTTGCAGCCTACGATCGCTACGCAAAATATGCGGTTTTCAGACGCAAATTCTTTGTATGAGATGGACAAAGCTACACAGGAGGTGATTAATGTTATTGTGGAAGCACAATCCCAAGCCATTGGAGGACCACTTGCTGGTATTTCTACCGGTCGGGGTTTACCAAGTATCGATATTTCCCGACCTGTCGGGTTGCCTGAACTACGTAGACTACGGCGTACGTTCATCAAGTTAACGGGGCAAACAAGTTTGAGTGGGCGACCTCCGCCTTCTGATGCTGACAGCGTGAAAAGGATGTTCGTAGACTATCTGAATAGAGAATTAGGAACCATATAGGATTATCCCTTCATCATTGTTGTCAAAGACTTAATGTTTTGTTTATTATTGCTTTCTCTAATGAGCAGTTACTGATTGTCTTGGAATTATTGGACTTGGTATTGAGAGCCATGAAGGGGCCAGTTTACTTTTACAGGATTCTGTTAATGTGCTGAGTTGCAGGGTTTTGCCGATTGAGTTCAATTATTGCAGTGGTGAACGGATGATTCTCTCCATGTTATTCAGACTCGAGTGTGAGTGTAGGATGCTAGTATGTATCTCACACAGGTATGGTTAGACTTGGACTTTCTAAAAAAATTCATGTATTTGGAGAATCCTGAGAAGTTGCGTCTCCTTATAAAGATGTTGGACACATGTTTTAGAAGCGAATACTCCAGGAAAAATGAAGAGTCAAGCTACATGACTTTCTCAACCTCATGAGTAGGGATGGGCATGGGTGGGGTAGGTAGTTTTTAGGCCCACCCGACCCTTGTCTGAAAATTACTGCCCTCCACTCGACCTCTACTTTTCCCGACTTTAGAGAATATTCCACCTGCCCTAAATTTTGGGATGAAAACTCATCCTTGAACCTATCCGAATATATATATTTTTCATTTAGAAACAACTTTTCTAGAATCAGTATTCAAAGAAGTCATGACATGCTCCTCTCGAATGATTTGTGCAAGAAGCCAGGTAACATGATTGCCTGTGTGAGACCAGGTGATCTAACAAATATGAAGTGTAACAAACTTCAACTTGTCTGTGTGAGACCAGGTGATCTAACCTGAAGACACCGGCACGAGCACGTAGAGGATTACGCCCTTTTGCGGGAGGGACACGAGAACCAAAGAAGCTTGATGGCGGGGAAATTGATAAAAAAAACCAAATATCACCTTATAAGATCGAACCGAGTCAAAATCCATTCGAGCTAGGCTTGAATTCAAGTTGATCGGGGTAGGTCTTCTGGTTCAGGGCTAAAATCCACATGTCTATTCATGGTACATTGAAATGATCAGTGTCCCAATATTTTCAATAGTGTCTGAAAAACTGGAATCATCCCCACCATCTTGAGTCCTTTTCTGCTATATGCTATGCTTTTTACTGACAGAAAAATGGGGTATAAATGGAACAGTTAAATGATTTATAGGTAAACTGAACAGTTAACTTTTTACCATGGATCATTGAATCCATAAAACTAATCTGCTGGAACAGACTGAAATGTTTGCCTGCCTGAAAATTTTAAACTCGGGTGGGCTTTAAACCCTGACACTAGACGAGGGTAATTCATTTGTTGGTAATGGGGCCATGGCAGTGCAGTGGGCACAGCTCAGTCTCTGCTAATGCAAGCCTGGATTCTGACACAATCCTCCATATTGCATGACATGCTAGATGGTAACTTTAAACATGATTTCATTGTTTAATATAATGGTACATTTATATTTTAATCTTTATAAATGAAATTATAATTCAATCATGGGCTCCTTAGGGTAAAGTACACTAGAGGTCCTTAACTATGTTTAAATAATTGTTTTGGTCATTGAATTTTTAAAAGTTGTAAAATTGTCATTAATTTTTTTTTGAACTGTTATAAAATGTTCATTGCGGCGGTATAATAATTATAAAATTTTGATTAATTTGATGTCCATTTTACATTCATTTATAAATTTATTAATTTTTGTGTGACTTTTGAAAGTTTAATAACTAACACATCATTCTAACACATAATTCAATAATTTCTCATGCATTTCACTCAATTTTATATAATGTTCATGATCTAGTATTGTTTGCTTTGTGTGCATCCCTCTTCGAGGTAAAACTCAAGGTCTCTTATATGTAGAATTGCTTTTAAGTTTTCACAATTATGATATCTTATAGTGATCATTTTATAATAATTTGATAAATTTAATAATTATTTTGTAACTCTTGAAAGCTTAACGGCTAAAACAATCGCTTTAAAATAATTAAAGTGCATTTTACTCTATTTTATACTTCATTTTTAAACTTTTTATTATAAAAAAAACTTCAGATATTAACTAGCTTTTAAAATACAAAACTTAAAATGAATTACTTATCTGTTTAGATTTTAAATCCTAAACCATATCCTTAGAAACAAAATTGCCTTAAATGCACTCTTAACGAGACCTCCTCTTAATCTTTTTGACGGCTAAATCAGGATCGTTGATTTCACTTGACTACACGGAATAAAAGAACATGAGCCGCCCAATCAGTAACAGCATCACCATCACCTGTCATTCTGATTTTTCTTTTCCATAGCGTACATTTCAAAAAGAAACCAAACACACCCCACCATTTAGTAATAAGGTCAAATTACTTACTTTGGTCCCTCTTTTATCATAGAATTTGAAATCTAGCTTACATATTTTTAAAAATGAATTAAATTCCTAAAAAAATTATACGTAATTGAACTCTAAAACCAATAAATTAAATTAATAAAGTCATTTGATAAATTTTTATTATAACAGTTTTAGAGAGATATTGTTCACGCTTACGATTATATCACATGAAATTTACAAAATTTTAAAGATAACTAATATATATATATATATATATATATATATATATATATATATATATATATTAAAAGTTTGCTTTTTTTAACAAAATAAATAAATTTCTAAAAATGTCATATGATAATATTATAATGTTACATATGATACTAACTGATTCAAAATAACTGTTACATTTATAATCTACATTGGTTAGAAGGATGAAATTTTAGAATAAGAAGAGATTAATTCAACGAAAAAATACTCATAAGATTAATCAATTTTTTTGGTTCAAGAGTTTCTAAGCAGTTAAGCAACTCCAAAACAATTACAAATATTAATTAAAATATGTAAATCTCACCAACAACCGATTGATTTAGTGAATACTAAATTCTTTAAATAATAGTAAAGATACAAAATTTAACGTTATGAATGAAATAAATTTGATTAAGAATGTCGCTCCATAATATCTATTGATATCCTATTGTATTAAAATTAAAGTATTGAAATTAAATTTCAAATTTTAACATAATATATGGACCAAAACAAAATTTGACGAACAATAAAACAAATAATAATAAAAGTCGGCAAACAGCCAAACATCATAAATCCAAATTAAACAAATCATTTTCACTAAATCATTTCTGCTCTCTGTTTGTCCATTTGCCTTCAGATCTGATTATTTTATTAACACTTCTGTTTGTTCAATCACTCTCTCCTCCATTTGTCAATTTCCAGATTTTGAATCTCCACCGGTAAGCTCCCACGTAAACCCTAATTGTTTCTGTTTTTTTTTATAATTTTGTTTCCAGTGTTCGATTTACTTCGCTTGGTTTTTAATGATCTTGATCTGTCATTGTTTCCTTTTTGAGATCCGACTTCTGTTTTCTGGATTCTAAAAACGGAAAGTTTTGCATTTCCTTTTTTTTTTCCGAGGATGTAAATTCCGTTAGAAAACTCGTGTTAGATTCAATAGCATTTCATCTGCCAAATTCACCTTTAAAGAATTATAATTTCCTTATTTTTGAGTCCTCATTTTAGTTGATCATTTGCAGCTTCATGCGATTCGGTCACTTGCCGGAGACTGAGGGATTGACATTACTCAAAATTGAGTTTCCGTTGGCTCTGTTTGGATTCTGGTAAAATATTTACAACGGTAAATTTTATGCTCTGCATTGGATCAGGAGTTGTGTGATTCACTTCTGGAGGTGGAATTATTGATCCGTAATAAGGAATTGAAATTCAGCTTGGTTTTTGTGATTTTTTATATATACTGGTTCTGGTGGATTTATAGTGAACTTTGGATTTTGTTCTATTTTTTTCTCTGTTGCTTGTGTTGGTTAGCAGAAGATTGCTGCTGAAGGAGTGTAGGGTAGGGGATTTCAATTCTTGTTGGGCTTATCCAGATTTACTGTAACATATACAGAAGCTCGTATGTGATCATAGGTTATGGTTTTCACTGTTCTTGGAGCTTTAACTGAAGGGGTGGTGATTTAGTGGTTTTCCAATCTTTTAACCTTTGAAATTTTGGACATGAGAAGCCCCTGGCTCAATAAACTCTCAGTAATTTTTGGTCCCAGACCGCCTGTCAGCTGGTTGTTATTGTGCTTTGTTAGCGTGCTTGCGCTGATTGCAGTCTTTGGATCGTCTTCTTCTAATTCCTTTGACTCTGTACCTTCCACTCCGGTACCTGAGATCTATACAAACTATAGAAGGCTGAAGGAGCAAGCAGCAGTTGATTATTTTGAGTTGAGAACTATCGTGTCGGGAGCTAGTCGACAAAGGGAGCTTGGTCTTTGTAGCAAAGAAAGAGAAAATTATGTACCTTGTTACAATGTGACAGCAAATACGATATTAGGGTTTAAAGATGGAGAGGAGTTTGATCGGCATTGTGAAGTGTCTGGGCAAGGAAACTGGTGTTTAGTTCGCTCTCCGAAAGATTATAAGATCCCACTCCGTTGGCCTGCTGGTAGGGATGTGATATGGAGTGGAAATGTCAAGATAACAAAAGACCAATTCCTTTCTTCTGGAAGCATGACAAAAAGGTATTTATTAAATGCATTTGGATGCTTTGTAAAAGTGGCAAAGTATGAGGCCCATATCCATTGTTTACTAACTTTATATTTTACAATTCACCACTGTGTGATTTCTTTAGCTGCTTATAATATTCTTTCATTGTTCTTTATATGATCAAAAGCAGCTTTCTGATTTACCTTATTAATATTTTGACTACTTTACTAGAATCATGTTGCTAGAAGAGAATCAAATTGCTTTTCACCCGGAGGATGGCTTAATATTTGATGGTGTCAAAGATTATTCTCGCCAGATTGCAGAGATGTTGGGACTGGGAAGTGACTACGAATTTTTTCAAGCCGGTGTATGTCTTTTATTTCACTTTATCATAATTTTCTACTACTTTTAGCATTATGGAGTACCTTGAGCTTTAGGAGTGATATTTTGGGAATAATTTTTTCTAATAGCATGTCCTGTTTAAAATATAAGAAAGATATTGTATCGACTTCAAGGGGAACTAAAACTATCTTCACTCTACGGTATTTAATCTCCTACTTTGATTACAGGTGCGCACTGTACTCGATATTGGTTGTGGATTTGGAAGTTTTGGAGCTCATTTAGTTTCACTTAAGTTAATGGCTCTTTGTATTGCCGCATATGAGGCAACTGGAAGCCAAGTTCAACTAGCTCTCGAGAGAGGTCTTCCAGCAATGATTGGCAATTTCATATCAAGACAACTGCCATACCCATCATTATCATATGACATGGTTCATTGTGCACAGTGCGGTATTGTTTGGGACAAGAAAGGTACTTTCTCTGTTTAATAATAGGATTATGTTATTTATTGATACTCTTCTCTTTTACTTTAAGAATTATTTGGGAAAATGGGTTATGCAACAATTCTTTTCCTTCTATTTTTTAGTGATAATCACTATGTCATGTTTCATTATAGAATTTTATTGATAATGCATGACTTTATGCATGAGATGTATTTTAATGCTGAAAATTCGTCCTCAAGTAGCTTCCGTATTCTGAAATTAAATATGCTTTGCTGTCAAAATATGACTTTGTAAAACAGAGAGTATGTTTGTAAAACAGAGGGTATGTTCCTTATGGAGATAGATCGGTTACTCAAGCCTGGAGGTTATTTTGTTTTAACCTCACCGACAAGTAAGCCACGTGGAAGTTCAACAAGTACGAAGAAAAGAAACAAGTTAACGCCACTGGAACAATTTACTGAGAAAATTTGTTGGAGTCTTATTGCCCAGCAGGATGATACTTTCATCTGGCAGAAAACTGCTGATGCTCATTGCTATTCTTCTAAGTGAGTATACATTTATAATTTTCGCTCTTCTGTTGGTAAATCTTAGTTAAATTGCATAATGGAACTGGCTTCCAATTTCGTAAAATGCCTTTTAGGTTGTGTTATACCTTTTTATTTTGAATTAGTTGTATTTGGTTTGCTTAACTTGTAACTGTCAGACCAGCTCTGTTGTTTTTCTAACTTCTATTTCTTGAATATAGCAGGAAGAGTGATGTAACCCTTTGCAAAGAAGGATATGACGCACCCTATTATCGGGCCTTGGTGCCATGTATTACTGGAACTTCCAGCAAACGCTGGATTCCTATTCAGAACAGGTCCTCTAACTCAGATTTGAGCTCTGCGGAGCTTGAAATTCATGGAAAGTATTGTTCCAACTCATTTTTTTCTGCCTGCACATGCTTTTTTATGTTGCTATTGTGCTGCGACATGCAATCTGTAGTAGATGATTTAGTTGGCTAACATATTGATATAATTTAATCTTTGCAGGAGTCAGTCAGGAGGATTTCTTTGAAGACTTGCAAGTTTGGAAATTAGCTTTAAAAAACTATTGGTCTCTGCTTACACCATTAATTTTCTCTGACCATCCCAAGAGGCCAGGAGATGAAGATCCTTTGCCTCCATTTAATATGGTACGCAATGTGATGGACATGAATGCTCATTATGGGGGCTTGAATGCTGCATTACTGGAGAAAAAGAAAATGGTGTGGGTGATGAATGTGGTGCCTGTTAGGGCACGCAATACGCTTCCTCTCATTCTTGACCGGGGTTTTCTTGGTGTTTTGCACGACTGGTTAGTTGTTTTACAACTTCAAAGCAATATGTTTGAGTTGATAACTATGCGCTTGTTTTGGAATTTGAGTTTTAACATCTTTGTTTGGGTATAAATATCTTCACTAGTTTTCAGAAGTGTTCTTACTTTTTTGTGTTCCCAGATTAAGATAACATTTAAAATTTTGGATCATAAATATTCAGTTAAAAATTAAAATAGTTTGCTTTTTATTCAGATTCATTCTTAAAATTGAATATTATTGTTGCCTATAATTTTTCCGTATCTACCTTGAGTTGTTGAATTATAAGTGGCTTATTTGCTCAAATCAATGTTTCAAATAAAGACATGATTGCTATTTGTAAATAGAATTTACATTTGGAGTCTGTATGTACAGTTTTCTCTCTTTGAGATCAGGTTGAACATTCAAATCTTCATTTTAAGCTTGCTCATTTCTGATGTATATTTTGAATGCTGAAAGAACATTTTTATCTTATGTATCTGGTGCTGTACAGGTGCGAATCCTTCCCAACATATCCTCGAACATATGACATGCTTCATGCAGATGGACTCCTATCACTGCTTACTTCAGAGAGGTGTGGTTTGATGGAATTATTTATAGAGATGGATCGAATTCTTCGTCCCGAGGTAAATTTTTTTTTTCAGAGTTTGTGCTTGAAATCTAGCATCCTAAATCTCTTGAATAATCCCCCTCCAAAATGAATGTGGTTTTCTAATCAAAGCTCTAGAATGTGTTGTATTAATTAATTGTTTCTGAAATAGTTATTACCTACCTGTGCAACCGAATATTAGAAGTTATCAATATTCATAATTGGAGCTCGTGTTTTTTTGCAGGGCTGGGTTGTGCTCTCTGATAAATTAGGAGTTATAGAGTTGGCGCGTGCACATGCTACACAAATACGATGGGATGCGAGGGTGATCGACCTTCAGAATGGTAGTGATCAGCGCCTACTTGTTTGTCAGAAACCTTTTCTGAAGAAATGATTGATTGAGCACCGAAAGGTCTCAAGCCTGCGGATTGTAAACTTTTCTTGATCTGGTAATCTTCTAATCAATCCACCAAAACACCTTTTTTCACACCCATGCATGCATGCACAATTTGTGAGCCTCTAATTGATTTCTCATATTGGAACCGGATTGCCTTTGGTTTTTAAATGCACAGAGTAAGTGGCCTCAGTAGACAAAATGCTAACCGGATTTTATGCCATGAATCCTTTCAAGCTTTTGATGGTATATGTTCTACACACCGGATTTTAGGCATCGACACTTACCAAAATTGCACCTCACATTAAGTTAGCTAGCATCATTTGTGTAGAGATTATATTTAGGTATTATGTCTTGGAATCGATGATGTAGCTATTTTGGCAGAGGATGAACTGTCTGTGGCATGACAACCTGAGCCTATGCTCCGGAGTTTCAAGCGGTTCGATATTAATGACCGAAGGAGCATGGTGGAGGATTGTAGATTAGCTTAGAAACAAAGTTTGCTGCAAAAGTAGCTGTGATTCGTTTTCTTTGCCAAGGTATTTGTAGCCAATTCATTTATCCGCGTTAATTTTTCACCTAGGTCTTAATTTTGAGTTTGTTGATTTCTTTATTATTTCGATATCAAATTCCTTGTATCGAACCATCAATTTTATTGCTGTGCAATGGCCATGAAATGTGATAATTACAAATAGATTAAACTATATAATCTCTAACGGATGTTTGAGGTTTGTGCCTTGAGAATGGTTCCTCATTTCTCCGCCAATGTAGTTTATATAAACAAATCTGGATCTTTGGTATTACTCTCGATTTTGCGATACACCTTTTAAAGACAATAAGTTGATTCGAAATCTCGTTATCAACCTCCTGACGTAGAAAAGTAATCGTTTGTAGCCGCACGGACACCTTTTGATGCATATGAGTTGGGGTGTGGTTCGACCTTTGAAAAATATTTTTGACAAGATCTTATTTAGTTCAAAATCGTAATCGAATTTATATTATAATCTCGGAATGATCTAAATCGAATCTCATTGAAGGAAGTTTCTCCATGAGAAAAAGGAAAGTTGTGTTGCAAATGGGAACCGATATTCAAAAAGCCATTTTGCGTGTATTTCTATATTATCAACATGATGAACTGGTAAGCAGTGATATTTGACTTATCAATCCCTTCGTTAGTCCAATAAGCTTGTCTGAGTCTCCCTCCTCTATTTGATTCATCATCTTTGATCCCTCTCTGGCACATTTCCTCGAACATCATACTGGCTTGGGCATCTACTTGATCACAAAGTCTGTAACATGAATGCCGCAAATCATCCATTCTCTTCATTTCCTGTAATTAATCTTAAATAGCGTCTCCATCATTTTCACAAGGGCACCAAATCATATTCAAACCCTTCAGCTTCCACCAAATTCATAAAATCAAATACCCCATCTTCATAAGATCCCTCAAATCAACCATTTTATATGAGGTAAAGTTCATTAGTGGTCACTTACCTTTGTTAAAATGATCTTTTTTATCAACAAACTTTTCGATGTTATATAATGATCATTAAGAAAACAGGTCATTACAAAATGGTCATTTGGTAATCAAGCTTTTCAGTGTTACAAAATGGTCATTGAGGTACAGGGTTCAACATCAAACTTATTGATATAGTCAAAATGGACATTATTATAATAACGGGGATCATTTTTTATTATCAAAAAGATTGTTTTTAATACAGTTTAGGGGATCTTTTAGTGTGTAATAACAAAAATTCCCTATACGTAGATTGATTAATTGGGAACTTTTAGTATTTAATATAAATAATAAATTACTGGAGCTACAGTGGATTGAACCCTGTACCTCTCACTTACAAAGCAAGCGCCCTATCATTTGAGCTACAACCTCATTATTTTGTTTTGTTGAGAAATTTTGTAAACAAGACTTCTAAGTAAATTATTGGGTAATTTTTTTTATTGATATAAGTAAGTACAATATTTCACATTAAACGTTCATACCTTTAATATTTATAGTGTTCAATTTAAGATCTCAAGAAATAATAATAATTATTTATCATTGATCGTGCAATTATTAGGTAATTTAATTATGGGAAAGTGATAATTATGTATTATGGTGTTGAGAAAATCAGAGTTATTGTCCCATTGTATCAATAAATTATGTATTATGGTGTTGAGAAAATCTTGAACAAGTCCGCTAATTGAAATAACAAAGAGAAATTAAAAAAAAAATGAAATGTCAGCATCTTACTCCGATTGGAAAGGGTATTGAACAAGTCCGAGCAAGTTAAAAGAAGAACAAGAAAAACAACGAATGGCGCGCTTCGCCTTTCAATGCCTCCCCTCAAACTTTGCTCCACCCTTTGACTCTCTTGTATAAGTTATCATCTTTCCCCTTTTCTCTCTCTCATTCCGCCATTTTTCTTTCTGGTTTGTTTTCCTTTTTGAAAAAAAACACTGTTCTATCTGTTCTTTCTCTCATTCTCAACAATGTCCACTCCAGAGAAAGAGAGAGAAACTCATGTTTACTTGACCAAACTCGCCGAACAAGCCGAGCGTTACGAAGGTAATAAAAAAACAATGATGGTTTTTCAATTTCTTTCGAGGTTGAACAAGCTTTAACGATTTAAGTTTGAATTTTTCTGTTCTTTGTTTCTCGTTTCTGGGTGTGAGGCAGAAATGGTGGAGAGTATGAAAAAAGTGGCGAAACTCAACTGCCAACTCACCGTGGAAGAGAGGAACCTACTTTCGGTGGGATACAAGAACGTGATCGGTGCACGGAGAGCTTCGTGGCGGATCATGTCTTCGATCGAACAGAAAGAGGAATCCAAAGGAAACGAAGAGAATGTTAAGCTGATCAAAGGGTACCGTCGAAAAGTAGAAGAAGAGCTTTCCAATATTTGCACTGACATTTTGAGCATCATCGATAAGCATCTTATCCCTTCTTCCTCCTCTGGTGAAGCCACTGTTTTTTACTACAAGATGTAAGTTACGTTTACCCTCTACAGATGGATTTTGGGTTTATTTTAAATCTCTCCCAATGGTAGTATATTGACTCCAAATTGCCATTGAAGTAATGTTACCTGAAATGCATATCGATTTGGTACAAAGAACGAACACTAGAATGCAAATTGTTTTAATTTTATAAAGCGTCATTCACTATTCACTAGTATTCTCCGACTGAGAATTTTTATGCTATTCGTAGGGACTGTTGGATTTTATGTTAGGGCATGGATTTAGGAATTTATATTAAAAATTTAGTAGTGCGAAATTAGATTATCAATAGAATTTAGAAACTACATTAGAATTTGAAATTTCCAGGGCATTGACCGCACTCCAGCACCCTTAGGTCCATCCATGGCTACCGGGATTGTTAGTTTTATTGAATTAGATTACGAGTGTTCTCCGATTGCAAACTTACATACCAAGTAATTGAATTCAGGAAAGGTGATTACTACCGGTATGTTGCTGAGTTCAAGACAGATCAAGAGAGGAAAGAAGCTGCTGAGCAGTCATTGAAAGGTTATGAGGTAAGTTAATGTTTACCCTTTTATCATATATAAGAAAAAGATCCCATAATTTGATCATAGTGTTCTTCACTTGCTGCAGACACCTAATTTTCCGTCTTTCTTTTTTACTTGTTAGGCTGCTTCTGCTGCTGCAAACACTGATCTTCCTTCAACTCATCCGATTCGTCTTGGCCTCGCCCTTAACTTCTCTGTGTTTTACTATGAGATAATGAATTCACCTGAGAGGTATAAGCTCTATATCTGTTAATCTGTTATAGTAATTGGTTGAAACATTAGGTGAGATGTGTGGTTATATTTTGAGGAATTTGCAGGGCATGTCATTTGGCTAAGCAAGCTTTTGATGAAGCCATTTCCGAGTTGGACACTTTGAGTGAGGAGTCATATAAGGATAGCACCCTTATTATGCAGCTTCTAAGAGACAATCTCACTCTCTGGACTTCTGATTTGCCTGAAGATGGAGGTATTGTATAATTTAATTCAGTGACAGATTCGACAACACGGTTTTGAGGTTTATTTAATTTTTTAAATTTTTTGAGTATATTTATATCAAGTATGTAAAATTAACATCCAAATCCAAATAACATAATTGATAGAAGCCTTGATTTCTAACTTTGGGAAGCATTGTCTTAGACAAAGTATATGAAGACGGCGTAAAAGGTGAAGATACTATATCCTCAGCAGCCAAATCTGAGGCAAAAGCCGAGGTAAGGGCTTATCAGAAGCTATGGTTTCTTCTTCTTTTATTTTTTTGGTTTAATTTCAGTAGATGCCCTCAAATTATGACTGGATTCTACATTAGTCCTTAAACTTCAAAGCATGCTAGTTGAATCCACAGAGTCTGTATGGTGTGGTGCATTAAATGCAAACTTGGATATATGATGTGGAGCATATTTTAAACACATTGATCAAATTTTCAAACCTGTGTATATACATGGCATAGAAAAGCTTGTATAACATGTCACATCCAAGTTGACTCGCGTGTTTTAAATATATTCCACTTCAAATTCGAGTTTATAACTAGCTTACGGTAGGACCCTATTGATACAATATTAGTACTTTTGAGGATTTAATTAAAACGTTTCGAAGCTTTAAAAACTAATTAGAACGATAATGATAGCTACATTACATGAAATTGTCTAATTGGTATTTGCAGAAACATTGATGAAGAAATTCTGGGGGCCTGAATTGGGGGAGCAAATTCAATGTGTTTCCCGGTGCTCTTTGCCTAAATTGGCTTCTTATGAACCTTTCTTACAAGAGGATTGGATCAGCCAGTTTGGCCCATTTTACAATGCTAAACGATCATTTGCAGTACTACCAAAAACCAGATGGTGAAATTTGATCAGTTGATCCAAACCATGTCTTAAATTTCCACTTGTTTTCATTTTTCCTCTACTTTTTGCTTTAATTGAATGTTCTCTATCTAATATGAAGTTACTGGTTGAAATTATGGATGTTTTTTGCTTTACATTGTTTCCTTTTGCTTACATTGTGTCATATTATAAGCTTCTATTTTCGAGAACATCAATTGACGGATAAAAGCAACATCCAATCTCTTAATTCGATAGTTTTTCTAACTTAAATTTTATTTAGTCCAAAATAATTATTAAATTCAGAATTTCTATCTTCAGATGACGTGATACTTTAAGACTACAAATGATCATTCGAAAATAAACTTTGTAAATTACCAAGATAAGAGATTAAATTTTGTTTTTTTTTTATCAATTTCTTATGTGATATAACGTTTATTGGATCTAAATCAGAGATTAAATTTTGCTTTTATCAAGTTCTTATGTGATACACCTTTGTAAATAACTTGATGTCTTTTTTTTTTTTTTGGATAGAATAACTTGATGTCTCTTACATAAGAGTTAATGATTTAAAGAACATTTACTTTTTATTTAAGAATCGAAGTACAATTTATCAAAAAAAAAAATGTAAGAAACACAAATAAACGAATATTAAGATTTTAATCCAAAACTAATTAAAAGTAATATTAAGCTTAAGATTTCTTGAATCGGAAAACGAAACATTAATAAATGTAAGAAATTTTTTAAAATATAACTTATTAACTTCTATTGATTTTGCCAATGCAAATAAAAAAAAAAGGAATTTCTTGGTCAATTACCTTCTTTGGGCGTTGAATTATATTTCATTTTTTAGTATGATGAAAATGTATGAAAAAAAATTGTAAGAATATTAATAACTTCATCATGTAAATTAAATATAAAAAAATAAAAAGAAGCACAAATTTAATTAAAAATGATTAATTAATAACTTCACAAGGGGAAAAAAAAAAGAAATCCTACTAACTACCAGTTGATCTAACAAGATGAGACATTAGATCCCTTAAATAAGATTAATAGTTCAAATTGTAATAATATGATAAAGAAAACTTGATTAATGTAATTTCGATTCAAATTAGTTTGATATGCGTCAAATACAAATAGTTATACTAAAAAAACCAAGCATATCCTTTAGATAAATATTTTACTCAAAAAAGGGAAAATTCTGAATGAGCAAGAAGCTGTCAACAAACTAATCACATTCCATCAAAATTGCAACCTAATTTTTACAATAATATTGTGCAACATGATCAAGGAACATTATGAGTTATCACAGTTAGATATCATCAGATCTCAAGTAGAAAACCATATTTAGTGCAGATATATGAATGCCCCAATTCCCCAAAATATGATTTAGGGTTCTTCCTTGACAAAATAGCTTTGTGGCAAGCAGAAATCTTCCTCGTGATTTAGGATATCAATCTCTTCATCATCTGGTTTCTGAAATTTACAAAAGAACAAATTAGCTCAGTGATAACTACCTTTCAAGATGACCAAAAAGCAATAGCACCATTTAGGTTTTAGGGTGTCCAATTTTTCAGCAGGTACTTTTCTTTTATATTACCCTGGCATTAGGGTGAGTGTCAGACTTGGATATGTGCCAGCATAAGCATACTCAATTTTTTTTATGTTGTCTATATATTTCGATGATCATATATGCCAATACCAATGTTTGATTATGCTTCCGAAATAGATGTCAAACACGGGTACTTCAACAACAAAAATGAAGAGTATGGGCAGCAAAGATTTGCTCATCATATACACACAGCTATCAATTCTTATGTTGGAAAAGGAAACAAAGAATCATTTGCAACAACCTATTTCTGTTTTTAATCCATCATCACCATGTGAACCAAACTATACTTGCAAGTATCTCTATCCAACCACAGTGAGTGAACACAAATGATTGAAACTAGCCATTTATCATTTTTGTCGATTTATACAGACATGGAAACATCCAAGACAGTAGTCAATGCAAAACCTAATCTTCAATGGAATATCAAACTAATAAATGGAAACGAAAATAAACTATTGGACAAGGTTACCAGAACTTCTAAGTTGTAGAAACGATCTAGCAATTGTAAAACCTCATCTGGAGAAAAATGTCGGTCAAGGCTGTGACAACATTTAGCAAACAATAAGAGAATGCAAAAGGAAAAAAATGACTCATCAGAACACTGTGATCAAAAGAGGGTATTGATATGAAGTACGAAGGACAGGAGGCGGAACAAACCTTTTCCGCAGGAATTCCATCAGACCATAGAGTACAAAGTGGCGATGCACGCCTGCAGGGAAGTAAATTCAATTCAAAGTAAGGCTTTCATATAGATTGTAAAAGACCAAATGAATCCTAACTGTTTTACCATAAACATGTGCATGAACTGCTAGATGTACTGATTTCTTTACCATGTAAAGCTTAAAATTGATCCATAAACAATAAAAATGAAAATGCACCATTAGATTCTAAAACTATCAAAACAAACACATAATATAAAAGCTAACCTTTCACTGGAAATAACAGCACAAAAGACATTTATTAAATTTTCTTGCTGAAATATAGTTAAACCATTTTTCACCACAGCACCAAGCAAAATCAAAGGAATCAAATTAATTCAAATTTCCAATAATATTTTACTTTTAGAATTAAATAATAATAATAATAATTTTTTCCCTTCAATTAGTTTCTAAGAATCAATCTTTAAACTGAAAAAAAAAACGAACTTCTCCTTAAACAATTAACATATACTATATATATATTAAAGCGATAAACGTGCCTCGTAATTTGACGGGAGGATAGATTTCAAGTGCTTCCAATAGCCTCAGCTCCAATTCTACCTCCTGTTGCTCCTATTAAATCCACGGAAATAAATACAAATTTTAAATAAAATCAACAAAAAAATAATAATTATTATATAAAACGGAGAAAGACGAACGCCGGCGAAAGCGAAAGACCTTAGGAAGAGAAGAGGCGGAAGACGGTGGAGCTTTGCAAGGGGAATGTACGGAAATACCATCTTGTTCATCTTCTTTGTCTCTTCCACCCTCCATCACCTCTTTACTTATTCCTTTTTGCAGTCGTAGACTGAAACCACTCTCTCAAGTAGGTGAAATTAATTAAATAATTCTTCAGATTCTTTCTGGGCTGTATCTCATAGTATTCCATGGATGAAAAACACTTTTGGGCTTCCATCCAAGGCCTTCACCTACAATTTTTTTGTATTTTTTTATTAATTTATAATATTCAAAAGTTGCAAGAGATTATTATATATTTAGAATGTTTTATTTAAATTTCAACTATATACATAAAATTTTAGTTTAATTTTAATTGTGTATATTTATAACGATATTTTTTTTGATAAATCTAGGTGAATATAAGGTAGTATTTGTTTAAAGACTCTCAACCAATTGACAATGAACACTTACGTCCTTGTATATGTAGTGTTTGAACCCAAAACCTCGAAAAATAACAATAATCATATATATACACAACACATAATTAAATTTAACATATAATTTAAAAAAAAATTATTAAATAAAAAATTATATATAATTTTAAAAATTGATTCTTTATTATCACATATTAAATAAACTATGAGAAAATATTTGATTGAACATAGAGATGTTAGTGAAACGAGTTTTATTTCACACCTATAGATGAGAAAGCCAATAAATCTAATGTAAATGATGAGACGAAAATGAATATAATCTTATAAGTAAAAATGTCACAGCTTGCAAACTCTTGTTTCCTCTTTCTAATCTCTGACGATCTTATTCTCCATCAATTCTTTTTCTCTTTGCTATATTTATTTTAGACAAATATGTCTAGTATGTTATTTATAGTAATTGAATGATAGTTGATGAATTTTTTTATTTTATTTAATTATAATTTTATTTTGTATGTGAATGATAGGCCATAATTTTAAGAGAAGGTAAAATTTTAAAATTTCTCTTTTTGGAATTATGGAATATGGATAGAAATTGTCAAATTTTAGAAGGTAACATTCTCTCCAACATTATCATAATGTGAGTTAATTGCACCATATATCCTTAAATTACGATCATCATTTTCAATTGTACTCCAAATTTTTTAACATTCTAATTTTATCTGCAAACTATGCTTTCACTTTAAATCGGTCTCTAAACTTTTAAACATACAAATTCACCCCCAAACTATTACCCTCATTCTATATTGATCCCTAAGCTTTTAAATGGCTTAATTTCAACTTTGAATTTTTGAATGATTTAGGGGATATTGTTGGAATATTCAAAAGTTTGAGGACTAATTTAGAATAAGGGTCATAGTCCGACAATGAATTTGGAATGTTTAAAAGTTTGGGGACCACTTTATAATATGAGTCATAATTTAGGGATGAATCAAAATATTCAAAAGTTTAGGGACTAATTTAAATTAAGAATCATAGTTTAGGGATGTATGTTGCAATTAACTCTTATAATGTTTATTATAATTAATTGTGACATTATCTATTATATATGTCGTTGCAATAAACACAATACAATATAAAAAAGGTTAAAGTACACAAATGATCCACCGACTATAGGGTATTGTTTTGTTGGGTCCCTCGACTATTAAAAGTTATTAAATGGTCCTTCGATGTGGTGTTGCTTTGTTGAGTACCTTCTATTAAAAGTTATAAAATGGTCACCCGACTATTCGTATGTTTCAAACTCGTCCTTTTTCGGTAAAAAATTGAGAGTCGTTTGAGCTAGACGTTAACATCTTGCCTGAGATATGATAGTCGTTTGAGATTCTTGAATAAGATTTTAGCATATCTTAGTTAGCATGTTAATGTCTAGCTCAAATTGCCGTTAATTTCTTAATGAAAAAGGATGAGTTTGGAACATATGAATAGTCAAATGACTAATTTGTAACTTTTAATAGTTGATGAACTCAACAAACCAACATCTTATAGTCGGAAGACCATTTTATAACTTTTAATAGTTGGAAGACTCAATAAAGCAACTCCCCATGCTCAACTATTTGTATATCTAAAATTAAACTTTAAACCCTTATTTTTCTCATGGTTATAAAATTGGATACATATAATAAAGCAATAAAGGGCATTAGCTGTATGATTAGTTGTGGTACAGCTTCATTTGGCCATCAAGCCAACATTTTCACTACAACCCGAGCCAAGTCTTTTGTCATTATTTTTTTGGACACGAAAAGTTGGGATAATGTACAATTATGAGTTGTAAGAATATCATCACATGGTTTGACGTGTCTTTACATTTCGTATACATAATAATAAAATAATGAAAATATAATTAATATAAATATTAAATCCATAATTTACATACGATACGAAAAATAAATTCATTACTATTACAAGTAATGATAAGTAAACAAACATAAATTTTAATTAAAAAATAAAAATTATTTTATCAATATCTGTGGATGGATTATTCAACTAAATTTAGATGCATTAGATTAAAATTGTTTAATAAATTAATTGATAGTTGAGAGAAAGATGAAGAATGCAGGTTGGGATAGGGTAGAAAGTGTGTAACAATGAGGTGGTCCAATAATTCCATTTTCAAACGAGTAAGGAATCTCAATCGACACGACCGATTAAAAGGTGACCTAAAGGCAAAATACTCCTTCCATTCCCCTTTTCCCACATAATCTTGTTCTTTATCCCCTTTCTCTAACATATGACTTCATTTCTACCTACAAAGTCTATCAAATCAGATAAATAATTCGAGCACCAAATATATCTCCTAGCCTAATGCATTTGCTACTTTAGCCTAACGTGCAACTACCAAAAGTCTTGAGTGGCAATTGAAATTAATAGGGAAGGTGAAGGTTTATGAATTCAGATAATAGATGTACGATGTAATAATTTAATATCTAAATTTGAATTCATAAAACATATCAAATATAGACAAACATTCGAATCTACGATCTAAACTTATTACTCTAAATAATAATATTGTACTGCAAATTGATGTCCCTTGTTTAATAAATAAGGCCCGATATTTCAATGCCAAAGCAGCCTAATGAATTCATCATTACAAACGCATATTATAATTACTTAATAAGATAATTAAATATTGGACCGTCGCATTCACTCAACTTTAGTAGTGTTTCCCCCCGAAAAGAATGACTTCTTAAGTCATACCATTTACTTTAGTACGACTTATTTCATGATAAATCATTCGAAAAGAAACCAGGAACAAAAATGGAGGCCAATGGTCTGTCTATAATCAACGCACAACCATGAGTATCAACGGGTCAAAAAGAAATAATATTAATATTCAGATCTAATTTTAATGAATATTTATAATTCTTTTATTTGTTTCAAAATGATACGTTTATATATGTATATACATATATTTGATCGATGCCACAAGTACAGATACAATAATCAACATTAAAATATATATAATAATTATTCAAATAATCATCATTATAAATTTGATCGGATCAAGAATCAAAATAATTTTAAATTTAGACTAAAATAAATTTAAACATAATTCAAATAAAACTATTTGTAATTATTATATATATTTGTAATTAAGATCATAATAGATGGGGAGGCTCTCATATTGAACTGACCAAAGTGAGAATTTATATCGAATAAAACTATTTGTAATTATTTTTTTCTCATCAAATAAATTAACTCTAAAAAATAATTAATAAAGATTGAAAATGTTGATTTAAGTTCGAAAAAATCCTGTAGTTGTGAACTTCTTATAATCTTAATATTATATTATTTTTATACCTATGTTTTCTATTTAAAAATTTCACGTAAATTTGTATATTACTATATTCAAATTTTTTCTTCAAAAATCTCAATTTTACTATGGAGTTAAAGCTATAGCCTTCTTATATCTACTTAATATATTTAAAAAGTTGAACAATTTTAACTATTAAATTTATATTTAATTATTGAGTACCAATCAAATAACCTCAGTAATTAAGAAATAATTAACCCTTAAAGGATTACGATTCAAACACATCATTTATATAGATATTTAAACATTTATTGAAAAATAACAAAATCTTTTAAATATATATTATTTTATAATCATTTTATATTAAATTACTAAATTATGAACATAAAAATTAAAATAAAAGAACCTGAAAAAGGAAAGAATGCCAAATAGTTAGGGAGGACAAAAAAATCGAATCCGTCGGGAAAAATCGAAAATCGAATTAAACGAGTCAGTTTCGGGGATGATAAATAGGGATGGGATGGGGAAAAGCCGAATGTTTTAAACGGGGACGGGAAAAAATCGAATGTTTTAAACGGGGACGGGTTTGATAATCCATGCCCCGATTACCCGAATACCCGGCCCGATAAATATTAAAAATAATTATTTTATATATATATATATATATATATGTAATATTAATAAATTTAATTTAAATTAAAATATATATATATAATATTTATATATTTAATTTAAATATCCACTAGACTTCACAATGACAGTTCTTAAACCTAAACCAGGTTAAGGAAAAAATGCCAAATAGTGTCAAGTGGTGACCGCACATATAAAGGATCTGTAAAAGGGTCCCAAATGTAGAACCCTCAGGCTTCATCTCCCCCCACTAGGCTTCACAATGACAGTTCTTAAACCTAAACCAGGTTAAGTGTTGACCCTTCACTTCAGTTTATGACCGTTTGAGAATATATATATATATATAACATATGCAGCTGCAATTACATGAATATTTTAACAGACCAAATTACTAGCCACCAACACTTTTTTAAGACATTTGCTCAGTTTCCCATTTTCAACAACACTCGAGAGTAGTATCAGAGGTGATTTTAAGACAACATTATTGCTTATATACCCACCGTCTTCCTTGTTATTTGTCTACAAGTCTCCATTTGTTCTCTTTCTTTTTTTTTCTGCAGCCGTCTCTGGTTTCTCTTTAATTTCCTCTAAATCTTGCACAAATCATGGCCCTTTTGATTTGTCTAGTGCTGTTCTTAGCCATGACTGGCCATTCAAGTAAGCTTTTTGGATTTTTCTCTTAAAGATTTCAGAGATGGGTTTTGCTTCTTTGCTGGAAAAACACAGATAATATCTTAAAGATCAAATTTTCCCCATAAATTTATCATTTTTTCTTGTTTAGGTGCTACTTATTGCTTATGTAAAGATGGAGTTGGTGATCAAATACTTCAAAAGGCACTGGATTATGCATGTGGAGCTGGAGCTGATTGTTCAGCTATTCTCCAGAAAGGTGGTTGCTTTAACCCCGACACCGTGAAAGATCACTGCAACTACGCTGTCAATAGCTATTTCCAAAGGAAAGGTGAAGCTCAAGGAAGCTGTGATTTCTCAGGCTCTGCTACTGTTAGCGCCAATCCTCCTCCGAGTATGTCCCTGTAAACCCATTTTTCTTCTTCCATTTCTGGGTTTTCCCTAACCTTTTTTGTGTGATCTGCAGATATTGCTTCAACTTGCAGCTTTCCCTCAAGGTATGTTCATCACTTCCATAAACTTTCATGAAAGTTTCTCTATGATGTTTTCGTATGTTTGATCTTTGTTTCTAAAGTTATTTGGTTTTTGTTTTTTTGCAGTAGCACGGGCACAACCACCACAGGCACCACACCAACCGGAACAACCACCGGCTCAACCACCACGGGTACAATCCCAGGGACTACTCCAACCACCGTGTTTGGTGGTGCAGGGACAACACTAGGGCCAACAACAGGGACCAATGATCTTCCAAGCAATGCTGTGGGTGTGTTCACCAACAACAACTTGATCTTTGCTTTTGTTGTATTGACAATCCTACGTATTTCAGAGTTATCCTGGCTTTGAATCGTAAGGGGAATATTTGGGGGATTTTGATCAGATTTTGCGATGGCTTGTGACCTTTGGTGTGTGGGTCCATGATGGGAGCATTTATCAGTGACAATGACAAATCCCCCACCACTACTTTTTTTCTTTCTTTTTTGTATATCTAGTGAGTCCACTTTTTTTCGTTTTTTTAATGGAATTTTGGTTAATCATAAAAATGAAAATTCTTTTAAAATGATTGTCGTACACCGAAATAATAATATGATATACTCATCACTAATTAAATTATTATTATTAAATAAATATAAAAAAATATAATAATCTATTCACAATGTAATCTTTTATTATTATTATTTTAAATTTTAATAGGAATATAATTAGATTTTTTTATTAAAATTATAACTATTTTAAAAATATTTATTTATTTAAGTTTGTATAATCATCTTAAAGCAATTATGGTTCAAGTTTTGTTGATCTTAAAGACTTAAAATGTCCATAATTTGCACAAAAGTCATTAAGCTTGGATATAAAATGTATTTGATGCTATACCTTTTGTATGTTGCAGATGCAGTTTGAAGAAGAAAAAAGAACATGGATTTAAAAAAAAATTGTACGTTAAAGGATTAACGGGAGTTACCAGCAAGTGATTAAAACCAAACAGATTGATGAAGTAAGAACGTACTTAATTTTTGAACTTGTGACCAAACTCAATCAGACCAAAAACAAAGTGGATTAATTGTATAGTTTACCCTTAAAATTTTAATAAAAAATACAGTTTAATTGTATTCATATTAAAATTTAAACTAAATAATAATAAATGATTAATTGTGAATAAGTTATTATATTTTTCATATTTACTTAATAAAGACAATTTAATTAATGGTATGTAATGTGCAACGTACATTCTAAATTCATTTCATATAGGACATGATGCCCCCCCCCCCCCCCCCGAAACCTTGATGAAACATTAGTTTAATTCATTTGAAGTGGGTAGTGGATGGAATGGGTGTGGATTAGGGTGAAATTTTTTTCAACCCACCATCCTATCTATTACCAACCTTATCTATCCATCTATCAATATAATATTAATTTTAAAAAATATTAATTACAATAAAGACTTTTTTAGGGTAAATCCTAAATATTTTTTCATTTTTCTCGTTTCAACACCATTTCTCTATTACTCTCACACTTTCTCCTGCAATTTCAACTATGAATTAAACTAAAATATATTAGAGTATTGGAAATTTAAAACTTTAATAATAGTTGAATTAATGTATTAAGTATTAAATATTATTTTAGTAATATGTTACATATATTTTCAATTCTGATTTTTTAGTAATAGAACTCATTTATAATTCGACCCACCCGCCTCATCCGCAATTGATGGGTGGGATAGATTTAGGTCAATGATCAAGCGGGTGGTGGTTGGGTTGGATGACAATTTTGGATGTGGATTGTAACACCCTTACCCGTATTTAATTCCACAATACGAGTCAGAATGCCATAAACTAATTTTCTACAGTTCAAATTTAAATCATTTATTGATTTCTACATCAATTCATAAGTTCTTTTTCAACCAAACTAATTTCGTTTTCAAGTAGTAACTTAACAATTCATAATTATAACATATAACAAATAAACTGCCTGTATTTTACTTAAAGTAAAATTTATCTTAATACCATTTTAATTCTAATTATTTTTACCAGATCCTTCCCATGCATTCCATTTTTTCATAACTATCATAATTTATATACTATTCATTAAACTACTATAAGGTAAACCATTACAAATATGTTTTAAGCATAGTTTATACCAAAATACCATTAACACTTATATGCTTGCCGACTAGAAAATCAAAATACATCGGGAAGATGCCATTACTGATATTGGGTATATACTCCTCGATAGGTACGATGTCGAATATTCCTTACTCCGATTTCTACTTTTACCTACGCGTGAAATTCATCACATGCTAAGTATACACTTAGTGAGGCAAACATAATAATAGTCAATGCAATACAACACATAAATATAAATAAATAACAATACTCAATGCATTACGATAAATTTACATGTATCTCAATCATATTATCATATATTAACATGAAATAAACCACATATAAAATTTCTTACCAATATATTTGTCATTCATTCAAAAGTTCATAAGATTATTCACATGTTTATCATTTATTAACCAATAAACCATAGTCCAAATATATGTCTACGAGAACCCTGGTACACGAATAAAATATGCACCGAAGTGCTAATACACATAAGGTCGTGCTCACCATAATACACATAAGTTCGTGCCCATCATATGCACTAAGTGTCTTGTATATATACTATAGTGCTAAATCAAATATGCAGTCTGTTGTTGGACTCTATAGCATGCAAACTATACCACTATCCCTCAATGATATATTTGGGTATATATTATACATTTATTTCATCCATGGGAATGTATTTCAAAATAAGTCAACATTGGACAATTTAAACCCAAAAATAACATTCATAATATAGCCTTTTGACCTATTTGGAACATATCAAATATATCAAATATATTACCTTTTGACATATTTGGAACATATCAAATATATGATTGATGACAAAAATATCACGCTAATATATATATAATAAAAAAAAAGTAGACTCATCGCGAGTCTTCCTAATGATATATGAAACATCCATGTGTCATGTTATGTATGCATTGCACTCATCTTGAAATTTTTTATACAAGTCAAAATATAAGCCTCACTAAGCTTAAGCTCGATATTTTTCCTTTCCTTTGTTGCTAGTTAGATTCCGGTTTTGATTGATGTCTATAAATACATCAAACATATAACATAAATAATCAAAAGCACATGTTAGAATCTATCTAACACATGCGCATATAGTGTAGGAAAAAATATAATATTTATTCCAATACAACATTGTAATTACAATGTTTCATACACTTCATTTCCACCTTAACTTACTTGAATTCACCTTTAAACTCACAATTTCACCTTAAACCCTTATTTTTTCCCCTTTTAGGCTTTAAGGACTAATCATAAAAAAAAATCATATTTCAAGTCTAAATCCAATAATTTAATCATTAAATTAATCCTTGAAAAATAACAAATATCATAAATAAGTCACTTGAATTTTCCTATAAAATTTTCCTTAAAGAAACCCATATGGCCTAATATCATCCATCACTTCCAAAGTGTTTTCAAGATCCAAACAACAAATTTAAACATGTATTGTAATTTTCTACCATAGCCTTCATCAAATTCAAGCTTTAAATATAATTCTCAAACTTTTCCTAAAGTGTCATTTTGGTCACTATTAGGATAACCATTCTTCACATTTTCAAGCTTGAATAAACATGCTAAGGCATACAACATTATATTCTCATCATATCTAACATAAAAAATCAATTCAAAACATCAACCCCTTAACTTTTCATTTTTTCCAAATGGATCCCTAAAGGAAAACTAATGGATTTTTCATTACTTGGAACATGAAATCAACATCACAACTCCTATATCATCATTTTCAAGCCTTAAAACCTCAAATTGCATCATCCCTTCATCCACCCTTTTCATAAATTTAGGGTTATAAGCATGAACAATATGAACAAATGGTACCAAATGAAAGAGAATTCAATGGAGAACAAAATTAGATTTCATGACTTAACCTTAAATCAAACTCAAAATGCATAAAAAACAAAATAAAAAAATACCTTTGTTTTTTAACCCACGGCAGCAGCAAATTCAAGAGCTTTCTTGAATTATTTTAGTCCTTTCTAGATTTTATAACCTAAATGAATTTCAAATTCATTTTAGTCCAAAATGACTATTATGACCTTAAAATCTAATGATCCTAATAATATACATATCAAATTTATCATCCAAGGGATGAAATTAATCCATGAAGTTAGTAGTTTACAACTTTAACCTTGTAAAGTTCCAAAATTACAATCTTGTTCTTTTTAATCCAATAGTTAAGATTCAACATGTAAATCAACTTAAATCCAATGGTCCACATTAAATCTTATCATTTTAAAGTATTGAAAATACAATTTTCCCTTGCTTTATCATCTAGCAAAATTTCCTGAATTTTTTTTGATCTGATTATCTGAATTTTCCTCGAACATTCACACTTTATATCTTTTGACACAAACTTTGTACGAAAAATCTGAAATCCATAAAAACATTATTCTTGGGGGTAAACTATTCATTTGCAGGATTAGGTTACACAACTTTTTAAAATTATACTTTAGTCACTAAACTTTCTCAAGTTTATGCTTTAGCCACTAAACTTTCAATTTATTCATTTTGGTCACTAACCATATTCTTGGGGTATTACATGGATGGTGGAGCGGGTAAAACTCTAGCCCACCTAAATCCGGCCCATTACCAGCCTAATCCCTTAAAAATATATAATTATTTATCTTCAAATTTTAACGATTTTGATAAAATTATGAGTTAATTGTATCAAACGTCATTAAGTTATGACTTTTATTTTTTAAATGGTTACTAATTTTTTTTAATTTTCTAATTTTATCCCTAAACTATATCTATCATTTTAAATTAGTCTTTAGATTTTTAATATTTTAGTTTCATCCCTAAACTATGATATTCATTCTAAATCAATCCTTAATTTTTTAAATACTTCAATATCATCCTAAATTATATATATATATATATATATATATATATATAAAATATTAAAAAAATTAATATTCATTGTTAGTGAGGTCAATTTTATATTATATGTTTAAAAAAATAAAATTTAGGTTAAATTATTCTTGAAATTGATTACATATTTAGATGAATTTAAATATAAATTGGAAGATTTAAAAGTTTATGGACCAACTTAGAATAAAAGTCATAGTTTAAGGATGAAATTAGAGTATTCAAAAGTTTAAAGATTTATTTAAGATGAGAGTAATAATTTGACGATGAAACTAGAATATTAAAAAGTTTAAGGACTAATTTAAAATAAGAGTCAATTTACAGTTGATGATAACCATAGGCATTGTTTAAAAGATATTTAAAGGATAAAGAACACAAATGGTCCCCTAACTATAGGATGTTGCTTTGTTGAGTCCCCAACTATTAAAAGCTATAAAATGGTCCTCTGACTATATGATATTGCTTTTTCAAGTCCCTCGATTATTAAAAGTTACAAAATGGTCACATGACTATTCATATTTTCCAAACTTGTCCTTTTTTACTAAAAAAATAACAGTCATATGAGTTGTACGTTAATATGCTGACTGAGATATGCTAATCATTTGAGATTCTTGGATCAGATTTTAGCATATCTATGTCAACATGTTAATGTCTAGCTCAGACTACTGTCGATTTTTTAACGAAAAAGGTCGAGTTTAGAACATATGAATAGTCGGGTGATAAATTTAGAGTTATCCTAAAATCTAACTAAACCACGTTAACTAAAATCGAGGTCAATTTCTAACCCCAAAAAAAAGTCAAGTTTTAATTGCTAAAAAGGAATATATATTTATCTAATATATAAACAAAAACAATAGAAATAGAAAGGTGGAAATTTCCCTGAATTGCATTATCCGTTTGTTTTCTACCTCTTTAAGAGAAAATCGAATACATTAGGAGTCTTTCTTTGTTAGGTAAACAAACAATATCGGCAACCACTTTTTTTTTTCTTTTTCTTTTCTAAAATGTTATTTCTATGCGATTGTGCTGTGGACTGTCCAATTTCTTGAATAAAGATAAGTAAATGTATCTTAATTTTATGGGTTAATTATAAAATTCATCATTCAACTCTCTTTTCACTTTTATTTTAATAATTAAAATTTTAATTTAATAACTAAATTTAAAATTACTCATGTTTTGGTCAATCTATTGTTCATCAATCTAACTTTATCATAAATTGATTTTTTTTTATTTTTTTCTTAGCCACATAGACACCAATTCAAATTTTAACCATGGGTCTTCTCGATTGGTGCGATCACCGCATTGATCGCCACTATAGACGACTATTATGTTGAAATATGGGTTTTAATTTCAACATTGTTACTTCTTCGTTATGATTTGATGAATGTTTTGAAATGGACGTGGAAAAGGCTTGGTAAAACACTGAGCATGGAAAAGGGAAAAGAGAGAGAGAGGAGGGATATCGAAAGAGTTGGAGAAGATTTTAAGATTAATAGGTAGTAATCGATGATGATCAATGATGGCTGTTTACTACGAATAGTGATCATAATTTAGACAGTTATAAAGAAGAAAAAAAAGAAAATTCGACTTTATACGTATAAAAAACAACATTGTTTTAATATAAAATTAATTTTTTTTCAAGACGATGACGTCTATTGTTATAATACCATTGATTATTTAACAATAAAATGAAAAAAAATCAAATAATTTATGAACAATAATGGCACGAATCAATTATAATCTGAAAATTTCATTTCAGTGAGAAAACAATTCCCGATGCATGATTCTTCGTAGTTCTTTCGAACTTTCCTCTAGCCTTCGTCCTTGGAAGAATGGGAAATAAAACCAATATATATAGGTGCATAACGCACATGTATATACACGTAATAACAACTCAGAAACAAGACATCGTTATATTCTACCGCCATGGATCCTCCGCAATATAGAGCAGTGTCGCCGTCTTCTCCTCCTCCTCCTCAAAGCAGCCGTTGTTTCCCAATCCTGGTCGTGCTTGTCTTCATTTTCATGATTATCGCTTTCCTGGTATGTACGGACCAAAAATTTGAGTTTAATTGTATTTTTAAGTTTGCTTAGTTTTGATACCAGTTGAATCAGATTAGAACCCTTTTTTGGTAAAATTCTTTTTAGTTCCTATTAATTTTAAATTAGATAAATTAAGTCTTGGTCTATCATATTTCCTGTTTAAATATTTTTAGATCTCTTTTAATTTTAATATTAACCAAATTATATCATAGTCCTTTTATTTTTATTTTGAAATTAATAACTTAATAATTAAATTATTATTCTTATTTATATTTGTTCTTCTAAAGTTTCATCCTGACTCTATTCCAACTTTCATTCTCCGCTTTCATATGAAAAAACGGAAAAGTTTCATAATTCTTTGTTGAAACCCTAATTTTAGCACCCAAAAACACGAGGTTTAACGATGGAAATTTTCAGGCAATGGCTCTGGCATGTTGCAACCCTGAGAACACTTTATCCATTTTGCATCAAGTCCCTGAAGGTCATGTTGGTGTGTATTGGAAGGGTGGGGCCCTTCTTAAAAATATAGCCGAGCCAGGTTAGGCTTCAATCCTTGTTTCATAATTCAACAATATATATGATTAAATTTCAGGTTTAGTCCTTATATTACAATTCAACACATTTTTGTCCTTTTAATCTTATTAATATAAATATAATATATATGAGATCGCAAGATCAAATATATTTAAACGCTAAAACTCTCTTATATTTACTATAAGCAGGTTTCCATTTGAAGATGCCTTTGATAACTCAGTATGAGCCTGTTCTAGTTACTCTTCAAACCGATCAGGTAGTTTTCCTTTTCAATTCTTTTACCCCAATTATGAGTAAATTATCACTATGTTAATGGAATGTGTTAATTGCAGGTGAGGGATATTCCATGTGGCACAAAAGGGGGCGTAATGATCAACTTTGAAAAGATAGAGGTATTTAAGGCTTTTAAATTGTTTTTTATTTCATTTGAATTCTAGATTTAATTGGATCTTAAAAATTGATAAATTTGAGGTCAGAGTCCATGTAATATAGTACAAGTTTTATATATTCACTTAAAAAATTTATACGATTAAGAATTTAAAATAATGTGATTTATGTGTTTCGTATCTCTTATAATTTAATGTAAAAAACAATATTTTAATTGCATCTATTATTTCAGGTTGTCAATAGGCTTCGAAAAGAATACGTGTTTGAGACACTGCTCAACTATGGAGTACATTATGACAACACATGGATATACGATAAGATTCATCACGAGATCAATCAATTTTGCAGCTCACATACTCTTCAACAAGTGTACATTGATGTCTTTGATCAGGTATATATACAATTTTGGATAAGTTAAAAGGATTAAATTTGATACGAGTTGATATAAATCATTTATTATTCTATTCGTAATTTAAGATTAATATATATATATAGTTACATCGTAATTATTATTGTTTTGTGTTTTAGATCGATGAAAAGATGAAAGACGCACTCCAAGGTGATTGCACAAAGTATGCACCTGGGATTGAAATTCTTAGTGTTAGGGTTACAAAGCCAACCATACCCGAGAGCATCAGAAGAAATTATGAACAAATGGAAGAAGAACGCACCAAGGTATCATGGTTTTTTCTTTAACTGATTAATTCGAATTAGATATTATAACAATCTATTATGAGATGACCCTTAACTTAATTTGTTCCTAACAGCATCAGAATTAAAACTTCTAATCTTATTTATCAACTTAATACTTCATCCCGTGGAACAACCGATAATATGTTATTATGTAGGTCTTAATATCAATGGAGAGACAAAAGGTAGCTGAGATAGAATCAGAAACCCAGAAAATAATGGCTATTAATGAAGCTGAGAAAGATGCTACTGTTAGCAAGATCCTAATGGAACACAAGTTACTGGAGAAGGAGAATTCCGTGAAATTGCAGGAAATCGAGAACCAGATGTTCATTGCTCGTGAAAAAAGTCGAGCAGACGCTGATTTTTATAGGTAAGGAAGCGTCGATCGACTAAGAATATGTGACGATTTTTTTATGTCGTTTGTGAAATTAAAAAACTCCGATATATAACTTGGAGAATCGATCTTCTTTCACTCCATTTTCTTCAGTGCGATGAAAGAAGCTGAAGCAAACAAATCGAAGCTGAGTCGTGAATTTCTTCATCTCAAGTTTACGGAGGCCATTGCTAATAACACCAAGATTTTCTTTGGTGATAAGGTCTGCTCCCTTTTATACCTTTATATTGTCACTTTGTTCATTCATATATATATATATATATTGTCACTTTGATTTTTGAATCGAAATTTATTTTGATTTGGTCAAAAATAATTGTGTTACGATCTCATTTGGTCGACGAAAATAAAGAGGATCTATAGTGAATGCGAAGGTTTTTATTGTCAAAGCTCACCATTGATCTTGATTGGAGGTGTGGGGCGGTATGGATCTTGCCGTACATTCAACCTCTATAGAAGTGTACTCATTTTGTTAACTTTTGATTGAGAGTAGAAATTCACAGTAGAAAAGTATTCATTCTAATATTAGATTTATTTCTCATTAAATAATTAACCTTATAAATAAATAGAGTAAATTATATAAATAATTATTAAACTATGCTAAATTAATCTTTATGCTGATTCAAGTTTTGAAAGTTACAAATTAATTATTAAATTTTGTAAACGATTATAAAATAATCATTAACATTTATCAAAATATTACAAACAAAACTATTAAACTTATCAAACTGTCACAAAATGATCCTCAAACTTATTAAAAGAAATTGTCACTATTTTATAAAGTGATCATTATGTAACAAGTTGATAAGTTTAATGATAATTTTGTAATTTCTAAAACTTCAGTTACCAAAAAACCATTTCTACATAATTTAGTAATTATTTGCTTGTTTTAACCAAGTAAATAATAGGATTAAAGTTATTGTCAGATACAAACGTAAAATTCATGTGAATTTGCATGTGACATGATAGTGAATTCTTTGATTTGCATGTAATTTTTTTCCTTTATTTTAAAAAAAAATAATTCTTAATGTTTTTATTTTTTTTATCTTATCTATCTTTTCTCACCATTATCTTATCGATTATAATTATATATTGATATAAGTGTATATATCATATCCTGCAGGTAGCTAATATGGTTGTGGATCAAAGACTAATGCTGGGTAACTTACTTGAGAATATGTCGCAACAGGTGCATAGTGAAAGATGCAAATGAAATCAGTCCATGCACCTTAATTAGATTTACTCATGTATAAATAGAAAGTTCAAACCATTATTAAAAGCTGTTGTTTTTGCCTCAAGGTGTTTTTCTTTTATTTGTTTATTTTCTTTCTTCGAAAATAAAATAAAATAAAATAATTTATGTATTTTAGATTTATTCATAATTGTTTAATCTAATAAAGATTTTTGATGGTTTGCTTTCTTTTCGTTTCTATTGGTTTGCACATTTTATTTTTTCGGGTTGAATATTATAAAAAATTATATTGTAAGGATAATTTTTAATTTAATCTACTTTATAATGTAAAAATTCAAACCCTAATATTGTTTAAAGACCATAGTTTCTCTTTACGTTTGACTAACCGGTAATTGTGTGTGTGTGTTTTTTGTTTTTTTTTCTTGTTGCTTTACGTGGTTAATGCTAGGTTTAATCAAAAGTGTCAAATTTAAGTTTTGGTCTTTCATTTATGTTTGAATTTGGAATATTTAGTTATTGTTTTCGAATTTGGCATAATTTAGTCCTCACTATAATGTCATTAGTTATTTCAACTAGTAAATATCAATAATTATTGTTGAAATCGATTTTAGATTCGAAAAATATTTCCTTGGTAAAATGTGTATGTTTTGAAAAAAAATCATCATTGACGGTTTTGGGTGAGGTACGACTAGATGTCTATAAAATTATGTTTTAATTTTTTTGTTTTAAAAAGATTATGGAGGTCTACATTTAAAATCAAAGTAAGATTAAATTCGGGAGTTAATTACGCGTGAAGAATATTAAAGTACTCCAACAACACCCGAAATCAGTACCTTTAAATCAGATGTTGTCTTAGGGTCTGTTTGTTTACTTCAGAATGATTAAGCGCTGAATGATTTTAATGTTGAATGATTTAAATGTTGAATGATTCAGAGACTCTGTATGAATTAGCTCTGAATGTGACATGTTGTTTGATAATGGCTCTGAATCATTCAGAATGTACTTATGTGTTGAATCATTCAGTACTGAATCATTCAGAGGTAAGAAACAAACAGTCTGAATGATGAACGATTCAACATTCAGCGCTGAACGGTTCAACATTCAGCGTTGAACGGTTACATTCAGAGCCAAACAAACAGCTCCTTAGTTTCTAAAAAGTTATGAATTCAAATTTCAATTTAGGGTAAATTACCTATTTGGTCACCAACATATTTCTGTTTTGATTACTCAAACATTTTTTTCTCAAATATTGACTTGATGTTTTTATGACGATATTGACTTGATGTTTTTATTATTATTTTTATTTTCATGTCATTTTTCTTTCATCAACAAATATTTTTTTAATTAATTTTATTCGAAATATGTCATCACTTTATAAAAATAAAATGAAATAAATCTCAAGTTGGTGATGGAGGGAATCAAACCCTAACCCCTTTGGAACCAAAACCGTAATATTTATTTTTATTATTTATTAAATCTAAGTTAAGCACTTTATTTTATCAAAGTTAAGCACTTTATAATTGACTGTAATTTCGGATTGTATGAAATTAAATAAAGCCCCACACCATATGAACCACGTTGTTTGCTTAGCTAATTTTTTACATAATCACCACTATATAATTTATTAACTAATTTATTTAAATTTAAATTATGAAATTTTATTATATAAATAATTTTTTATTCAATTCTTTCAATTCATAATGTTAAGATTTAAATCATTAATATTGTTATTTTGAATCAAATAATAATTATTTAATCTAATTAAATTCATTTGTAAAATAAAATTTAAACTTGAAACAAGAAGAATCTATACCTTATATAACATGTGGTAAATTTCATCAATGTTTAATACGCTTTCTTACCTATATATACTAATCCAACAACCATGTGGCGTCACCTTATATTGAAACCAGTCGTCCCCATTTCTTTGGCATCTTTTCCAATATGAACTTGTAGAACTTCCCCTGAACCAAGACATTCTTATCACAGTTTGATTCCAAAGGGGTCTCTTTCTCGGGTTCCTGAATATGACGTAATGTGTTTTTTTTAGTTTACCTGGGCTTCCCACCCTTCTAAAATTTGTCTATACTTCCTTGTCAATTGTTCTTTTCCATGGTTTCCCTGATTCTGCACTCACTGCAACTTCGTTTTTTTAAGGCAATTCCCTGAAATTGTTGGGATTTGGATAGCTATCCCTTTGCTTTGCTCTACTATGTGCATATGGTGAGTGAATAATTTAGATTTTAGAACAAATATGCAGTGTATATTTGGGAAATTTGAGTTTTTGCTGTAGCTTCATTCTCTTTGTGATTTCCAGTTCTGTATCTGTTTGCATATGTTGTTTCTTTTCTGGGAATTTTGTTGATTTATGCAAGATATGAGCGAAGTGTCCATGTGCCCTCCCTTCCTGTATATGTGTTTTTGCCTACTTTGTTAGATAAAAAGCTTCTTGTTTGTCAATAGTTGTTAGCTTAATTGGATGCCCTCCCGATGTTCGATCCCGCTTCCGTCCCTGTATATAGGGTTTAATAGCCAAGAAAATTGACTAAACTTCGATCAAATGAATGATAAGATTTGGACTTCTAAGACTACTTGTTTGCATGACAGGATTTTCCGGGCATTGCATCTATGATATCTGAACCAACTGAGAGGCTCATTTCTCGTGGTTTGAAAATTTTTATGGTGGAAAGCAAAGCTGGTGCCATGGTCTGTATGCTTTTGGCACTGGCCTTTTTAGGCGCATGGCCTGCTATCATGACGCTGCTCGAGCAACGGGGTCGGATTCCTCAACATACGTACCTTGATTATACTTTGACGAACTTCTTGGCTGCTATAATCACTGCTTTGACACTCGGTGAGATTGGCAGCAGCACTCCGGAGAAACCCAATTTTATTGCTCAACTATCTCAGGTGAATTTCATCCATTTCCATGGTGGAATCGAGACTTTGAATGTAAACTTTCATGGTCTTTCATGGTGAATTGATGCAGGATAACTGGCCCTCCGCTTTGTTTGCGATGGGTGGCGGGGTTGTTCTCTCCCTCGGGAATTTATCTACACAGTATGCATGGGCTTTTGTTGGTTTATCAGTGACAGAAGTGATCTGTGCTAGCATTACTGTTGTTATAGGTACACGTTTCAATCCGCACGTCATAAGTCGTTAATAATATGCTAACGAAGCTTGATGTTCGAAATTCTCAATTTTAGTTACTTTGTATTGATTAAACAGGTTCGACCTTGAATTACTTCTTGGATGGCAAGATCAATCGAGCTGAAGTCCTATTCCCAGCCGTTGGTTGCTTCTTGATTGCTGCTGGTCTTGGATCAGCTGTTCACTCATCCAATGCTGCAGATCATAAAGAAAAACTTCGAGGGTATTGCCTCTTCAATTCACTTGTCATATCCTATATTCAATAAATTCGAATGTTGACAACTGTAAGGTATGCCTCATAAATATACCGGTAAAGAGGACAGGGGATGGAGCGGAGTGAGCGAAGCGAACATCAACTATCCTTACAAAGAAAGTCTTGTAGAGGGGGTTACGATTATGTGAGTTGGGGGTGCGGGGGGTGCGCCCCGCGGTACGGTACAGGGTTGATTTTGTAATTATATACCAGAGTTTTCTATTATAAATAGAGATGTAACCTAAATCTATTATCATTGAATAAAAATTTTCTAGTGCCGCCTAGGCACCGAGGACGTAAGCACATTGCCGAACCTCGTTAAAATTTTTGTGTTCTTTCGTTTACTTTGCCCGATTTATCAACAATTGATATTAGATGTCAGGAGCAAAATTCGAAGTTGCGAAATTCGATGGTCTGGGTAACTTCGGATTATGGAAAATAAGAGTGAAGGATCTGTTGGCGCAGCAGGGGATCCTGAAGGCTTTGCGACCTACAAAGCCGACGTCGATGGAGGAGGAAGATTGGGAAGAATTGCAACAACGAGCGGCATGAACCATACGATTATGCTTGGCGGACGAGGTTATGTATCACGTCATGCATCTATCGTATCCAGACGAAATTTGGAGGAAGTTGGAAAGTCAGTTTATGTCCAAATCCTTAACGACAAAACTGTATCTAAAGTAGCGGCTGTATGGGCTGAAGATGCAGGACAATCATGATTTGGAGCAACACGTGAATGTCTTCAATCAAATCGTTTCTGATTTGGCTCGACTTGATGTAAAAATTGAGGATGAAGACAGAGCGATGATTTTGTTGTGTTCGTTGCCTCCCTCTTACGAACACATGGTGACTACTCTTACATATGGGAAAGAGACTATCAACGTTGAGGAGATTACTGTAGCCTTGTTGGCTCACAACCAGCGGAAGCAGAATGCAGGGGAAAACTCTCAAGCCGATAGCTTATATGTCAAGGGTAATCGAGACCGTGGACGGAAGCCAGAGAAGGCAGGGTCTGGCAAGCGGAATTCCAGATCCAAATCTAAGGATAAGAAGACAATTCACTGTTACAAGTGCAAGGAGGCGGGATATATGAAGCGAGACTGTCCGAAGTTGAAAAAGCAGACTGATGAGAAGCGTGATGTTTCATCCAAGTCTGTGAACGTGGTCGAGGATGACAATTCTGATTGCAGTGAGGGTGATATGCTTTCTATTTCAATGACTCAATTGACGGATGCGTGGATTCTTGATTCTGGATGTTCTTATCACATCACGCCAAATAGGGAATGGTTTTCGACATACAGGTCGGTTAATTCTGGTTCTGTTTATTTGGGTGATGATCGATGTTGCAATATTGTTGGTATTGGTGATGTCAGAATTAAGATGTATGATGGCTCTGTTCGGACGTTGAGTGGTGTTCGACATATCCCAGATTTGAAGAAGAATTTGATTTCTTTGGGCACTTTGCACAAGAATGGTTTTATCCCTAAGGCTGATGAGGATAGGGAAACCATTCGGATTGTTAAAGGTGCTTTGTAACACCCCCAACCCATACCCGACCCGGATATGAGTCAGAGATACTACATTGACTTTAAAACACAACTCTTAATAAATAATAGTAAAATATTTGATCTTATATTAAGAAAATACAATAATATACATACTGTAATATAAGTTTACCGAAATATTCAGAGCATACACAACTTAACCCTTTAATTACATGCCAACTGCTATTTACATAACAAAATGACCTACTGATTAAGTTGCTTCTGATCTGATGGTTGCAGGAGTAATACTGTCAAGCTGCTTCACCTGTCTCGTCTAATTCCTCAGATCCTACGTGTGAAACACTCACACGCTAAGTCATCGACTTAGTGAGGCAATAATAATAACAAGGCAATGTAATGTAATGAAAATGTCAGGATCATATGAGATGAGATGCAAACATGTACTTAATCAATGTAGTATACTTCATAAATATCCATACATGTAAGCGTATGACTGTAACATTCATGAATCTGTATTAATAAGTTTATTGGCCCATGATAGCATATTGAGAACCCAAGGTATCGGAGTAATGTGAGGTTGTGCACTATGCTGTCACCACAGCTCGTATAAATGCACCGAAGTGCCCCGTAGAATTGCACCGTAGTGCCATATAATGATGTCTATAAGGACCACATAGAATTCCTTAAGAATCATATACATATACTATGGATCAAGTATGTGTCTTTCAAGACTTCACACATGTTCCAAAGGATATACATATGTCCTAAAGAACCGCGTAGAATTGCACCGTAGTGCCATATAATGATGTCCATAAGGACCACATAGAATTCCTTAAGAATCATATACATATACTAGGGATCAAGTATGTGTCTTTCAAGACTTCACACATGTTCCAAAGGATATACATATGTCCTAAAGAACCGCGTAGACCCTCTACCCTTGGCATGCCAACTATACCTATAGTTCTCATCTACATAACATGGGCTTTTATATTTCACGTAGTCTATATCGCGTAGACATGAAATTTCTTACCTTTTCACATAGCTCATAATTTTTCCCACATATTCATGTCATATAATGCATTTTTTTTATGGATTCATGTCATGTCTCATAATACAGAATATGCTCATGTATCAAGATATAAAATCTAGACTTATCACAAGTCTAGAATGCAGGATATTTCTATAATCATGCTATGCATATGCACTCACCTATACTTCTTTGCCTTTTCCTCGATCGATCCTACTTGTAGATTGTTCCCGAACTCGAGTAGGCTCGGTATCTACATAAACATAATTTTCAAGATGATCATTAGATGTCTATGTCTTGAAATTAAGCTTTAATAGCTTATTAATTTAAGAAATTAATAGCTTAGTCTTTCTTTCTTTTCTTCTCTTTTTTTTTCTCATGGGGGAATCGGTTCCCCCCCTGGGGGTATCGGTTCCCCTCTAGCATTCTGGAATTTCATATCCGTTGAGGGGGTATCGGTTCCCCCCTGGGGGTATCGATTCCCCTCTAGTATTCTGGAAATTCATATTGTTGAGGGGGTATCGGTTCCCCTTGAATGGGTACCGATTCCCCTAACCCATAAATCCTATTTTGAGCTCGGAATTCATCCCATTTCAGCTCAAACATACATATTTCACTCTCTTTACTACTCTTAGCTTTCATACACTTACTTTAACTAATTATTATCCATTAAATACCTCTAAAACTTAGAAATCTAATTCTCCATGTAGAATTTAAGAATCTAACCCAAATTCCAATATGTTCTAATTTGAATTCTAACACCTTATACTTCTTAGTTAACTTCTTGACAAGTCAAAAATCTTATTCAAACTTCAAAAACTCATTCATATCAAAATTTCATCTAAAAATTCATTTTCCAAATCTATCTCTAAAACACTTATCTTGTTGTTTTAATGTCATATAAGCTTTCCTTTAGCTTATATAACATCCAAACTTTCATTTCCAATCTTAAAAATCAAAGAAACTACCAAGGTTCAGATTCTTACCTTTACTTGCAAGCTCCACGTTGAGAGAAGGAAGAGAAGAAAATAAGGAAGAAAGAAGAAGAAATGGGAGGATTCTGGAAACCTAATGTCACACGTGGGTTCTCATATAACCCCATAACATTTTATTTTAATAAAAATTTCCTTACAAATGACCATTTGGTCCTTACTTCCATCTCATATTTACTAACCATACTTTTTAAACTATATAATTATTCTACTTTAATCACCAAATGTTGAAACTTTGCAAATTAATCACTCACCCGACATGGAGGATGTTACAAATCTCTCCCCCTTAAGAAAATTCGTCCTCGAATTTTCATTGCACGAACAAATGAGGGTATTGATGTCGCATATCTTCTTCACGCTCCCATGTTGCTTCTTCTACTTTGTGATTTCTCCACAACACTTTGACCAAAGGAATAATCTTGTTCCTCAATTGCTTAACTTCATGTGCTAAAATTTGAATCGGTTCTTCCTCATAAGTCATATCCGGTTGTACCTCGATCTCTTCTGGATTTACAATATGGGAGGGATCCGATCGATATCTTCGAAGCATTGAAACGTGAAAAACATCATGTATCTTTTCCATCTCAGGTGGTAAAGCTAGCTGATATGCTACAGGTCCTACTCTCTTTACAATCTCATATGGTCCAATAAACCGAGGACTCAATTTTCCTTTTCGACCAAATCTCAACACCTTCTTCCATGGAGACACTTCTAAAAACACTTTATCTCCAACTTGAAATTCAATTTCTTTCCTTTTAAGACCAGAATAGGACTTTTGCCGATCAGAGGCCACTTTGAGGTTATGCTGAATTTCTCGAACTTTCTGTTCTACATCTTGAATTAAATCCGGACCAAGAACACTTCGGTCTTTGAGTTCATACCAATTTAATGGAGTACGACATTTTCTTCCATATAATGCTTCATATGGGTCATCTTTATACTAGACTGATAACTATTGTTGTAAGCGAACTCTGCCAGCGGTAAATACTTTTCCCATGATCCTTTAAATTCCATTACGCATGCTCTCAACATATCTTCTAATATCTGAATAGTTCTCTCTGATTGCCCATCAGTCTGAGGATGAAAAGCCGTACTAAAGTTTAAACGAGTTCCCAACGCTCCATGCAAAGATTTCCAGAATCTAGAAGTGAATCGAGGGTCTCGATCAGAGACTATGGAAACAGGTACTCCATGCAATCTAATAACTTCTCTAATATACAACTCTGCATACTTTTCCATAGAGAAATCCGTTCTAACCGGAAGGAAATACGCTGACTTAGTTAATTGATCAACAATTACCCAGATTGATTCTCTTTTGTTCGGAGTCAAGGGTAACCCCGCAACAAAATCCATCGTAACATTTTCCCATTTCCATTGAGGAATGAAAAGCGGTTGCAATAATCCTGATGGAACTTGATGCTCGGCTTTGACTTGTTGACATAT